TAAATGTTTTATTGTCTTACCTTATTCTGACGCCTTGTTTATACATACATTTCCCAAAGGGAGCTATAATAAACTTGGGAATTTTTGGCGGTGCTGTTACATGTGTACATTTATTTCGTTCCATCAATATCAGTGCCAGCAATCTAATGATTCCATATGCTTTATGGGCAGCATTTGCTTCAGTCATCAGTGTTCGTGTGGCTATGCTAAATGATGACGATTAGTTGAATGAATGTTGATATAACGAACACTGCACATTTCTAAAAGTCGTGTCCGCGAGTTTGATCTTGTTTTGTTTATACTTTAGTTTTTAAATATTTCCAGTAACTCAGGGATAATAATTAGTTTATTTTTGTTCTCCCTTTTTTCCAAAAAAACTTTTAGTATTTTGTGACAGTAAATGCAAGTCGTTTTTTTCAGTTTTCTTTATTGCATTTGTGTAAATCAAGTCATAGAAGTATTTCGACGAAAATTCTATAGGGATTAGTAACTGTTACACAAAGCTTATAGTATTGTTGATGATGCTTTCTTGGTCGTTTAAAACTAGTAATTTGAAAAAATTGGAACAAACAATGTGTGATTAGATTAGGTTAGGTAATTTTAGATTATGTCACAAAATTTTAGGAAGTAAAACATTTCCCAAGAGATAGATTGATTGATTGATGCTGAATCGCGGCATAAAAACTAATCAAGAATATGACACAAAAATCCAAAACCATATACTTAACTAAATCACCACAATGGATATAAACTGTCCATCTAGGAAGAGGAAGATTGTATGCTCAAGTGAATTAAAAACCTAAATTTGGAACGATATTCGTCTAACACGGGTGATGGTCGTTTGTGTAGTTGGTCGGGACCCCTTGGTAGCAGATCAGGAAACAGTAGCCGTCTCTCACAGCTTCGCACACACAATAGCCTCTCTCTGACCTGTACCACCCTCAGAGATAGTCATTGCCTATATACTACCTGGCACCCTCGCTCAGTGACTTAAAACTGGACTCAAATTAGTCACATCGTGACCAGCTACCACTGGAATAGTTGTCTACAAGACTGGTGCTCATTTTGGAGCACCTCTCTTCGCCAAAATTATCTTGCGTTTTGGAGGCCAGAAAAAACCTTGTCCTAAATGGACTGATCTAAACTCTTTGGTTGTAGTTTCCGTTGCAACCGAGTGTCAAAGTGAGTTAAATTCAATGCTAACTACCACCAGTTCAGGAAGTGTAGATGAACAACAACTGCGTTTCTAAGTCGTCATACAGCTGGCGAGTTACGTCTTTTGCGAAGCGTTCCACCTATAAACACCGGGTTTCTACAAGCTCTGTACAGCTACTTGAGAACCGTCTGTCCACTCTGGCGAACCACGAGTTTGATGTTAAGTGTGGATACTTATGTAAGGAAATTGTGCGAATTTTGTGTGACGACCGAGAAAACTAGTGGTCGGGACTTTGTATGGGTTGGGGACAGCTGCTATATCTGGCAATTACCAGAAGCTATTTTGATGACTGGCAACATTAAACCTGGTATCCACATTAATTGCTTCTGTCATGCTCCTCAGATTGTGGAAAACCTATAAAGGACTGATTTTTAAGCAGCATACTGACTTTTATTCAGGTCGTAAATGTATTGACTACTTATTAAACAAACAAAACTTTCGTTGTGGTTCGCTTTTTGCCGTACCACTTATTATTCTCGACCGTCACAAACTCTAGAAATTTGGCTATTATTTTTTTAAAAAATTTTTGCTACTACACTGGAGTCTGATGAACTATTTTTAACACTTTAGTAGAGTAACTGATTATTCATACTGACTCCGATGAAACCATCTTCGTTACCCGATTAGATGACATTGTAGAAATTATTTCTCATTGTTTTTACATAAAATGTTTTGCTAACTCCGTTATACTATCGTTGCCCGATAGTGTTAATTAAAGTCAACCCGCTGTCCGTTTATTTGCCAGCCTATTTTTTATTATCCGTCAACTTTGGGCATATATTAGCTTGATGGTATTTACTCTGGTAGCAATACATTGTATTTAAGCTTATCTACAATATCCAAATTGAGAGTATAATACTATTTAGTGGTTGATATAATCTGAGACAGTGCAATGAGAAATCAATTTCAACAACAGCTATGGGCATGGATATCTTATACGTACTTACAAAATAAAGAGCTGTCATCAGCGATTTACTACGTGAAATGTTTCAAAATCCAAATTAAAGAGTTAGTTATAATATATGTATAGAAATGAATCTGGTCAGAAATTAGTGTGAGTGCATTAGCGTGTAGCAAAGATTCTAATAAAGTCAGGAAACTGAGCAAAATATTACTAGATAGTGTACTCAGAAAATCCTGGAATATTGACGGTACCGAAGACAAAATGACTAGATATAAGTGGTTATGTCATAAGCAGACTAAAAAAAATAGTCAGTTAATTAAACAAAATAAGTCCGTTAGAATGAAATCTAAAAGAGGTTACTTGATGAAATACTCAAATGAGCGGAATATGTGAAAGGAGTTGTGTTATTAGGGTAAAGGAAGAAGAGAACAGTTCCCTTCTCAGCATATAAATCAGGTTTCTGGTGCTTCATATTGATAGCTTTCGCACAATTCCTAAGATTAGAGCCAGTGTTGACTAGTAAGTTGGGAAGTTTGTGTTGATCACACAATGTACTGAGCCCAAGGTATGTCTAGAAATTGAACTAGACGTTCTTATATACCTCTTGACCAAAAGCCTTTTGGAATATGTTTAAAAAGATATTGTTGAACGATACATGGACTAGTAAAATAAGTTATCATGATACATATGTCAGAGAAACAACGGCAGGTTGTTTTAGAAAACAGGAAAATTAGTATCAAGAGCAGACACCAAGTAACATCACATATTAGCTTTTTTGAACGAGTCTGACATCACTATCTCAAACGTAGCTTATGACTGGATGGATTTCGGGCTGAAATTTACCACAAAAAATGACCGGCTTGTTTAAACAGTAGAGGGCATGAAATAAGTGTAATCAGTTAGATGTGAATCAAGGGAATGTACTAAATTAAATTCAGTTCTTTGAGATTCTTTTAAATAAAATGAATATACCCTAAATTAACCTTAACACTATAGAAACAAATGTGGTTAGAATATTACTACAGATAACCATTATTTGATGCTTTATATCAACAAATACACGATCGATGTCTAACATTAACCGGGAAATATCAGAAATGAAATAATGATATTTTCAGTCCAGATAGATGTCCTGGATGTTACTCAGTTTCCTAAGACAGGTGGGTGAATTGAAAAGCTTTCATCTCCGTTCTGGACAACTCTTTTGAATGGTGCACGTGGTTTCAGAAAAAAATTTCAGTAATCGTATTCTCTGGCAGCATTCAATTTTCGAACAGTCAGTGACTCGAAATCGTTTAGATAGAACCGAGTTTCCACCACAAGCGAGCTACTGTATAAGTTGGGAAGTAAGGATACGCATTGTGAGAGTGGAAGAGGGTAAATAAGTGAGGTGGTGCAAAGAGATAAGTGAATGTTATCAAATGGGTTGTTTGGATTTTAACTGGAATGAGAGCAGCATACCCAATAATCATTGTCATTACATTTTGATTGTTTGAGGGCTATGATACTGCCCGGGTGCCCAGACCGAAGCAGGTGGTTTCCTGGTGGGCCACACCCCGAGCCTTTGACCTAAAGGTCTGAGACACAAGACAGTGGAGCTACGTAAGGGGATGCAGTCCCATGGTGTCATGTGACCGACAGTTGCCTTATACGCCATTTGTTCCCTCAGGATACTGGAGCCCGTGTGCACCATTGGTTTAGAGTCGGGGTTTCCTAACTCCCCTAGGTGGACTCGCCGTGTCCATCGGCCAGGTTAAAGCGACGGACATCCGCTTTCTGTCCTCTCGATTTCGTAAACAACACTCGTGGTGTGAGATAGTGAGTGAGTTCCCTGGCAGAGGTTGAATACGCGTGGCTATGCTAGCACTTCGAGAGGGGTGGGGAGACGATAATCCAATTGGTGTCACGGTCTTGAAACATCGACTTCGGTGGCTTGGACATGTTCTAGGAGTAATGTCGTCCCAGAGGATTCCTCGTCGTGCATCATTTGCCGACGCTGCGACTGGTTGGACGAGGCGGACAGGTGGTCAGTGTATGACATGATGTTGTGGTATAAAAAAAGTTGCAAAGGGATGGCTTCTGTTGGTCCTTCTCGATTTCCTGGCTGGGGTTCGATAGATGGTGCAACACAGTGGCTAGAGACGTTATCAGATATGGCTCAGAATAGAAGCCAGTGGCGATCCTGCTGTAACCTTCTTTTACTTTCTTCATAAAAAGTGGTTGCTTCTTTCTTAACTGAAAGAATTTCTTCTGGTTGTAACTTTCCGTTCCCTCCATTATTATTATAACACTAATCTGTGGTCATTATTGTTCTCTTTTTCTTCTCTCTTATACTCACCTTACATTCTTTTACCCTTCCCGCTCTCATTGTTATTGTGTGGCGCATATATATCTGGTACCCCTTGTACCAAAATTTATGTGTCTAAATAAATGATAAATACCAACCCTCACTTTTGTAGAAGTTAAGCTTTTATTCTACGTGCTCAAATCGTTTTGTCCTGATGGCTTTGACGTAACGTTTCCAACTCAATTTCTCTCTGTCTGAGCTAAGCGTACCTTAGCTAATTCTAACTCTAAAAAGGGGTCCATTTGGTAGCTATTTCCTACAAACTGTTTATCACTATGAGTTTCTGAATAGTGGGGAGACAATTCAGGAATCTGACCAGTTTTACGATTCTCCGTAGACATTTAACAGCACTCAACGTATGGATTTCTAATGAATTACTGGTCGAAACTTTGTAGAATTTAATTTATCCTAAAGATATTCTACTAGAACTGTAAACGCGATACTGGCTACCCCAGTCTATGTGATTTAAGCTATAGTCAGAATAAGGACAACTTGGCTTTAAACTTTATCGCTTCATATCTTTCTTTCTACTTACTAAATATTTCCTCCTGTACTATATCCTTACATGCAATCTTTTTTTTACATATTACCACCCTTAACTACTATGAATCCGGTGTTCATCTTGCTATGCTAATAAGGTGTGGCAACTTGGACCGATGCATATATGTGCTTGGTCCTACGTCGTAACTGACTGACTGTTTCTAAACGTAAAAATAACAATTTGATTAGTACAATAATTAAATATACTATAGTCATTAAGCGGAATGCACCAATAAACAGACAACTATTGCGTGTCGTATTGTAATGAGTCATATCAATATAATAGGATAATAATGTCGTCCAATTGTATAATTAAAATAAATATTACAGCCCATAGTTCAATTAATGTACAAGTCAATTTCATTTAGTCAATGAGAATTTGAATTAATTCATACTCATTTAAATTGATAATTTTAAGGACAAACTAATTGCAAATTGAATTAAGGTTATTTAATTGATTACATTTTCTTATAATTGTGTTCAATTAATCTTCAATCAAAATTCGTATTCTGATATAAAATCAACGGATCAGCAATAAGGAACAATCACAGGAGTTTACTATCAAGTTTATTTATCTACTGAATTTTGGTGATAGTTTGATTGATCGAAAAGAATTATTTTTTTATTGTGGTCTATGAAGGAGTAGACGTTACAGATCACTCTACCATGGAAAAAACAATAATTATGACAATAAAGATGTCATATTTATGGCAAGTGAATACTGTTGAAGTTTTCCAAAAAAGGTGACGTAAGAACGAAACAGTTTCTCATTCACTTGTTTTTATTAAAAATAGGATCACTACGATAGCGAAGTTCACCCTCAGAGTTAACAGACAAATCATTTAAAGCAATATTTAAATCCTTAGTTAATTGGCGTTTTCGGCGGGCTTCCGAGGTGGTTTGTTTAGGATTATGCATTGAACTAGATATCGCTTCTTGACTACGAAACCAACTTTCTGCTTTAAATCCAATGGAACCAACAATGACAGCAAATGGCAACGCCACATACCGAACATTGGTACGTATGAAGTGAAGAATAAGTGGCCACATCTACGTACTGGGAGAAAAGACAGTATATAAATATACAAATATAACTTTTTTTCTTCCGAACTGTTTAATGTGGAGGCTTAAGATGGTGTGCTTCTGTGAGAGGCTCTGTTGTGATGTCTGTCATAATAACTGGTTTACAGTAACTAAACAGAAATACGAGAAAAAGGTAATGAGGTAGATCCATCTCTTAATATATTGTGTAAACAACTTATGTGTGATGATAACTGCGCATAGATATAGGTTCTGAATAATAATAATGATAGTGGCTTGATTCAACATTGCATGTTTGGTACAACATGGAATTCTTAGCACATGAATATTGAATTACACATTATTTTTAATATGTTGCTTATAAACGTAGTCCATTTAGGGACAAGAGTTTGCACAATCAATTTTGAGTGAGGGTTAGAGATACCATCCGACAGCTACAAGCGAAGCCGGAATGGCATTTGGATCTAATACTTCTTAATTTCACGCTACTGCCAAAATAACCATTATTAATGCAGAAAACTTCACCAATCAATATTTAGTAACAGGAATTTCAACTTAAGTATTGACTAGCTACGATATTGATTAACAAGCGCCCATGACCATGACATGGCTCAAAACCGTTTGCAATGGCGCAGGTGCATCCACTCTCTGTGTTCTCCCAAACTCTAATCTTCTGAATTCTTCATGTCCCTTTCTTTTCCTCTTTCCAAATTTCTTTCACTGGATTATACTCTTTAAATAACATCTCCAAACCCTAATCTTCCCGATTACTGCTTATACTCTTGCTACCTCTACCACTACGGGATTTGAATCGACCACTGCATCTGTGTGCTAATGTGGTGTGGCAACTCGAACTGATGTACGTACGTACGAAGTTCTACGTTGTTACTGACTGACTGACTGACTGATGACCATGACACATAAAGAAATTTGACAAGTTTTAGGCTAAGGTGCATCTCGATTAAGCCTAAATCACGGTCAAGGGAAAACTGGTAGTTAAGGACAATCAACTGAAACCTGCTTTAGGTTCATCACTAGGTCAGTTACTCACCTATAAATTATGCCCTGGCCAAATATGTGTCGGTCCAAGTCGTCACGCCCTAAATCAACATATTGAAGAAACACCAACAAGAAGCAAAGGATAGCAATTATCATCAACTTAGGTGAAAATCTAAAGATGGAAAATATAGTGAAAAGTGATGTCAAAAGATGAAAATTATGGAACAATACTGAACTTAAATATTAGAGGAAGGTCGAGAATAAAATCCAAGTGAGTCACTGCCGTTGTTTTAAGGGTGTTATACTATGAAAGTACATTGAGATTATTCCGAGAATCCCAAATAAGAAATTTGTACTCACTAACATAGCGTACTCTAAGAGTTAACGATTCCGAAGAGTGCTGGTATGTATTCATCTTGCCTCCCGGACATTCTTTTAACTTACTCAGTGTAAAATTTATAACGAATTACTTAAATATAATGAAAATCCCCATTTTGCCATTTGTGGACCCTTCTTCGACACCACGGTTTACCTTAGGAATCTTTCACCATCGTACAGGTTTAGTACGATTACAATGTAAAGTTGTGCATGAAGAACAGCTTACAGATGCAATCCAAGTGAAGATCGGTGTTGGACAAGGCCGTTTACTTTCTCTTTCTTGTGGTGATTGACTGGACTATGAGAACCTTCACATTTCAGGAGAAGCACGTAATACAATCGAGAGCGTGTATGCGGCGAGACGATCTGGACTTTGTATGCGACCTAGCGCTTCTATCTCATACACAGCAACAAATACACGTGGAGATAGACTGTTGCAGAAGCCTCTGCAACAGCATGCCCCAACATACGCACGAGAAGAGGCAAGATTCTCAAATACAACACAACGAGCAACAACTAAATCATTCGGTGGAGAAGCACTGGAGGAGGTGGGGATTTTTAAGTACCAAGGCAGCGTTATTGATAATCAAGGAGGATCTGATGCAAATATGAAAACAAGGATTGGACAAAAAAGAGCAGCATCCCTACAATTGAAGAACATATGGGACTCAAAACGAATGTCAGCTAGCATCAAAGTCAGAATTTTCAATACAAACGTAAAGACAGTCCTGCTGTTCGGAACTGAAACGTAAGGAACCACTGCAGCCATAGTCAAAAAGACAGGTATTTATAAACGGCTGTCTGCCCGAAACACTCAATATCCATAGCACCGATACCGTCAGCAACAGTCTTCTGTGGCAGAGAACAAACCAGCTTCCAAAAGAGGTGGAAATTAGGGAAAGGTCGAGGTGGGTCGAACATATATAGGGGAAGTAACCAAACTGCATCACAAGGCAAGCCCTAACTATGGATTCTCAAGAGAAGTAAGGTATGTGGTGAACTTTTGGATATCATTATTTGAATGTGAACAGATATTCAGAACTTGGCAGACAACTTACAAGCGTTATTTTACCAGAAACGGACTCTCCATTCCACTCACATCTTTCTCCCTATATACCTATTTATAACCCAATCGTTGCTGCTAACTTGACGTAGTGACCAGGCTTACCTATCGTGATGAACCAGTCGAACTACACTGGCTGGAACAATCGTTCCTCAATGTTCCACCATGCCAGGCAGGTCGGTTGAAAAGCGGTAATACTAAAAGCAGCAAACCCAAGGTCCGAGAGCGAAGTCGTACTACTGAAAGTATTTCCGAAACCACATATATCATTCACAGTGGCTTCCTTCAACGTTTGCACAGTAATGCAGATCAGACAACAGATAGGGTTGGTTATGTTTTTAGAAAGTCTTAATATCGACGTCAGTTGTCTATGTGAGACCCGTATTCAGGACTTTGGTGAAGTACTACAAATTTGCTCTCCATATGTTGTTTCACGTGCATATACCCGGGGACCACGTTGCATCTTCGTCCGGTTATGCTAGCGTTGGTGTCACACTATTTACTGGAAATTCTATTCACGCTTCGATTAACAGTCAAGCAATTCATATTACTGTCATTATTTACCACGTCACTTATTCACTCTCTTTTATTCCCACTTTGTGTATCCTTATTTTTCGACTTTTACAGCAGCTCGCTTATGGTGGAAACTCGGTTCTATCTAAACGTTCTCGAGCCACTGCCTGGTTGAAAATTGTATGCTACCACCAAATACGAATACTGAAGCAGTTTTTCTGAAACCACGTGCATCATTCAAACTGGCTGCCTTCAACGTTCGCACACTTATTCAGGTTGGACAACAGATAGGGTTGGCTATGTCCTTGGAAAGTTTTAATATCGATGTTTGTTGTCTATCCGAGACCCGTATTCAAGACTCTGGTGAAGTACTACATATTCGCTCTCCATCTGTCGCTTCGAAAAGCTTGTTTTACGTGCGCTTATCCGGGGACCCTGTGGCATCTTCGTCTGGTTTTGCTGGTGTTGGTGTCGCACTAAGCGCTAGAGCTGAGGCAGCACTAATCGACTGGATCCCCATTAACAGTCGTTTATGTGCTGTTAGACTAGAAAGTTCCATCAAAGTGAGAAGAAATCGGCGTGAGACACGATGTCTTTTCATCATCTCCGCCTATGCTCCGACAAATTGAAGCCCAGATGCAATCAAGAATGAGTTTTACCACCAGCTAACAGTTCTTCTAGAGAAAGTGCGTTCGACAGATTTATAGTACTAGTCAGAGAATTGAATGCTCAGGTCGGACGTCTAGGCACAGAAAAGAACCGTTTAGGTAGCCGGTGTGGACTTGTTTGTCTCAGGTCAAGTAACGGGAACCGTCTAATGTAACTGTGTGCACACCACAACCTGTTTCTAGCTAGCACTAACTATCTGTACAGTCATCGCCGATGTGTAAACTGCCGTCCTCCCTCTGCATCTCAAGCCTCGACACAGATTGATCACATCGCGGTCAGCTACCGCTGTTGTGGTTTTGTACAAGACTACCGCTTCTCCGGGAGTACCTATGTAGACTCTGATTATGCCCTTGTTCGAGCTAATCTTACCTTACGTTTCAGTTGCCAACAAACTCATCGTTCTGAACGGATCGATATCAGGAAATTGGTCGACCAATTCCCTGACATCGATCCGCCATGAAAATGGCGGGTAAAGCCTCCAGCTACTCTGCGGAACGTCCCGCTTATTGGCATTAAGTTTCCTCAAACTCCTTACAACTCATCGTAGCCAGTCGGTCTACTCCAGGTGACCGCGAGTTTGACCATAAGCGACAACTGTTACATAAAGAAATAGATTGTTCAAAACCCGCAAAAGACAGACTCGTGAGGAGCAGGCTGGTGGCGAGACTACAATTTATAAATTATAGTCTCGCCACCAGCCTGCTCCTCACGTCCGTATACGGACGGAACCAATCAGGCATAAAATAACAGGTCTTGGATTTAGGCACTAAATTCACTGTTATTTGGCTAACTGGATCTTTATCATTATCGCTGATGTCGGTTTGTGATGAAAACCCTAAATGTTATTCCTAACCTTAATCGCCAACTGTAAATCATATTTTTAATTCCTCACGTGAGGAATTAAAACATGTGTACACAGGTTTATAACTCTTATTCGGTTCTGTTTACTAGGTAGACACCCTAAAGGTCGGTCTGTCGTCGCTGAAGAATCGTCCATAAATTATAGTCTCACCCTTATTACTAATAGAAGTTACACACTTATAATGTGCAGACCAACTCGTTAACTTGATGAATTGAGGAAATGTAGCCTCAATATATCATGCATACCTACACCAAGCCGCTAAATGGTGGATAAATGTATTCGATCTTCGTACTCTTTATAATTTCCTTTTACTTCTTAACTGTATATTCCACTTTTCTGAGTTGGGGACTACTCGTGTACACTCGCGGTTACGAACGTGGTTATAGAACGCGGGAGTTATAGAATCAAGGTCATATGAAACAAATGGTTGTGGACGAAATAGAAGATTTCGCTTACCTGGTCCCCGTGTCTAGTAGCAGTGGATCACCAATACCTTAAGACAGGAACCTAGGTTTATTACGATAATAGAGAAAAAACATATTGTGGGGTACCAGCACTCGCAAATCCCTATCAACTTGGTACACTTTAAGAGATGAGTCTCCTAAGTTGTAACTATAGTCTGCGACATGTCTCAGATGGACTACTTTACATTGTGAGATTTTAAAGTTAAGTCCGTTGTCATCTGCCCAACTTTGAAGTTGAGTCAGATCCTCCAGAAGTGTCAGAATATCCTCTTGGTTGAGTATCTCTCTCCAGAGTTTCACATCATCAGCAGAAAGCAATAAGTCAGATGGTATCTGCTGTGGAAGATCATTTATATAAATCAAGAAAAGAAGAGGTCCTGGTACCGAACCCTTGACGAGCCCACTAGAACATTCCATAACCTGAGGTAAGGTGAAGTTGACCCTAAGAAAAGCTTTTGAGAAATCAAGGTAAATGATATCAACCTTCCCCTTGCGATCAAAGATCCTTGTCCATCTGTCCACCGCAGTTGGCAAATTGGTTATGCAAGAGTGACATGGCGAGACTATGATTTATGGATGACCTTTGAACGAATCTCGAGTGACCTTGGGAAATATTAGGCAGTCATCAAACAGTAAGTATAGGGTAAAAATACATTATACAGAACCAAAGAAATAAAGTGAATGCGCTTCTTACACATGGTTTAAAAACTTGTCAAGGTTAGAAAGAGGTTCAGAAGTTCTAAAATCGGAATTCATGCAATAGAGGAAACCATCCATATGGCTACGGAATAGTCAAACTCTGGAGCCATGTTAAAGTCTCAAAAATCATTTCAGCCCTTACCACATTGCTTCAATACTGTTTGTGTGCACTCCGGTTGTTGAGTACACAAAATGCCGCTTGCGGATAGCGATAAGATGCGCATAACCAAGCCTATGTAGGGGTCTATACGCCCTCCAATCATCCGTATATATTGCAGTACCTTGTTGCAACCAGTGTTACCGGTACTTTTATTATCCAGTTCGCAATAATTTTCCTAATTTGCCTTAGTAAGGAATTATATTTGAGGTTTTCATCACAAACTAACATCAGCTCTAATGCCGAAAATCTATTTAGCGGAGCGGATGAAAGGCTTTCGTGCCCAAATCCGAGATCTATTATCTTATAACTGATTGATTCGTCCACAAATTATAGTCTCGCCGCTCTCTTTGTTATAGCCGTCCAATTATCACGTTTCGTACAAACTTCGTTGTGAAGCGATCGTACGTTAGCATTAAGCATTGAAGTTGGCGCCGTGACCTTGAAACCTCTCAAACGCTTCGGATTGACTCATCCATAAATTAGAGTCTCGCCAGTGACCCTTCCTGAAACCATACTGTTGGAGTGAGAAGTTTAAGGATAGTAAATAGTCATGTATACCATAGCGTATCAGGAACTCCATAATTTTTTGAGGTATACAGAGAAGAGCCACTGGTCGGTTATTTGAAGGTTCGCTGCGTCGACCTCCAATGAAAATTGGTATGATGTGAGCCAGCATTTAAATTTTGGGTGGTTTGCCACGGCTTAGCGAGGATGAGAACATTACGCTAAGCTGTGTTGCCAGAATTGAGGCTGCTTCCCTCAGTATAGCAGAATGAACCATATCCGGGCCGGGAGAAGCAATTTTCTTCCCCTCCGTAACAGTATATTCCATTTTTCCGGTCTAGGGAGTACTCTCATGTACTCCTGGTTGCTTGTGAAACCTGGCCTTTTCTGGTTAACGATGTTGAACGACTCTGTGTTTGATCATCATTGTCTCCTAAGTATGGCTGACATCTAGTGGCAACACTAAACTAGCAATGCAGAGGTATCTACAATCCAACTAGTGTCACTATCTTGAAACATCGGCCTGGACATGTTTCACGAATGTCGTCCCAGAGAATTCCTCGTCGTGCATTATTTGGCGACGCTGGGACTGATTGGTAAAGTGAGGACGTGGTCAGTGTATGGCATTTTGTCGTAGTATGAAAGAAAGCTGTACAGGATTGGCTTCTGTTGGTCCATCACAATCCCTGGTTGTGTTTCTAGAGATAGTTCGACACAATAGCTAGAAACGTTATCAGATATGGCTCAGAATAGAAGCCAGGGGAGATCTTGCTGTAACTTTATCTTACTTCATAAATAGGAATGAACGTAATTTCTTGAAATGGAAGTGTTCTTTCTGGCTTTACCTTTGATAACTGAAATGACTCTTCCATTGTTGTTATTTTACTCTCATACCCTAACTTCTGTTCGTTTTTGTTCCCTTTTTTCTTAAACTTACCTTACATTCCTGTATCTTTTCACAACCTTATTGTTATTGTTTGGCACAAATGTAATTAGTTCCTCTTTTTACCATTATTTATTCGTTCGAATAAGTAAAAAGATAAACGGAACTAACACAAAAATTATCCTCAAAACGATCGTGTGTGACTGGCTTCAAGCATTTTTGCCTTGTATACGGTGGTCATATCCTTAAGTCACTCTAACACAAGTTACTTTTTAGGTACCTCTCGGAGAACACTTTTGTTATGTGGGCGACGGGTGAGGAAATCTGGAGTCTCCTAGAGTCAGTATATGAGTGTATTGGAGACGAGTAGAAAGGGATAATCCCTACAGCCTACGACCGTCGTACTCAGTGTCACTAATCGGCTCCATGTACATGACTCCTACTAGACATTTCTAGGTGTTAGGCAAACTGCCTGATCACCGTATAGATTCATCAAGATTCATAAAATACTGAGTATGCAACTTACACAGGATTTTTAGAGTTGGAATTCCGGATGCATGTAGACTCTAGTTGGTGACCGGCATCTGTTGGTACGACATGAATCGACCATGGTGGCCACCACTTGGAGGATGACAAAGTTATCTTCATTAGGCGCAGTCCAGAATCCTCTTTCTTCTTGGCTATTGCACCACTTGTTCGTTCATCATGTTCTTAAGCCCCAAGGACTCCTTTATGTATATTTTTTGGATAAGCAGTTTAGCCATTCGCATTTTAAATTTTAGATGTTTGTGCTTTCAGCGTAAGTCTGTCTTTCGCATCCTGAGAATTTTGTCCTGCTGACTCAGAGGAAGATCAGATATATCCTGATTATGGTGATTGCCTTCGCAAGTTTTCGAACAATCTGATGTTGAGGTCCTTGTTGTTTGGGAATTAAACTGCAGTCCCGATTCCCATGCTTGTATTGACTGGTTGGGTAATTTTAGGAGCAGACTGCACGACCGATGAATTACTTGATCTTCTTATAAGATTTGAGCTTTTCACTGTTTTTCATGGTGAAAAGTCAATCCCCTTTTAACGCCGCTAATAGGGGTTGAGTTGCCTACAGAAGTATTGTGATGCAGTACAGCAACAGCAGCTGAGGTGCTTCTTTTGCATCTGTAAGCAAACTGATAGGGATCAATATGCTCTTTTATCGCAGGCTGCAGTGGAAATATTAATCATTTTTCCATTGCTTTGAGGAAGGGTGAAGTTGTTGCAATAGGTCTAAATTTCACATTTTTATCAACAGATTCTTCTTGGGTACAGGGATTATCTCCATCTTTCTCCACATTCTCGATATGCGATTAGATGAGAAGGATCTGTTAAAGATAGTCGTGAATGGATAACGTAGGACGTCAGCGCATTTTTTAAAAAGGAGGTTTGGGATGTAATCAGGTACCAAACATCTAGATGAATAAAATGACCGGAGACATCTTCGAACATCAGTTTCAGTGAAACTAGGATCACAGCTGTTCTTTAAACCTGTGGATAAAGGGAGCATCACATCAGATGACTGACGTACAAAAGACTTATTCAAGTCACAAACATTCAGCTGGTTATCGCTCCTAAACTGTCTGTCACCTGTAAGTTCTTTAAAGAGTTTCCACATACTTAGAGAGTTTTTGCAAGACAAGAGTTTCTGGGTAAACATAGAGTTGTGACGTCTAATTTCGAGATTTATCAAACCATTTAGCTGACGAACTTTGTTGGAGTTTTTCTCCTTGTACATTCTTTCTTTCACCCTCCGTAGTCGTTTTAGTTGTGAAGATATATATGTCGATCAGAACTTACAAAAAATATCAAAACAGAATTTAAGGTAACAAGTTATAACATCAGTAGTGTTTTCGAGTGAGTCACCTGTAAATAATTCCCGGTTAGTCGTATGAAACATGTTTTTTTCAGATTTAGAATATTTTCTTCTGAGTAATTCCTATATTTGACTTTCTTGGTTTGATGTAAGAGTGTACTCTTCCCATGCTTTCCATATACTTTAGGTGGAACACGAATTATACAGTGATCCCAGCTAGACAATGGAGCACGATTACGAGTCACATATATACACACCATCAATGAAAGCGAAGTCTAAATGAGCATCCAAACGAGTAGGAAAATCGACTGCATTTTGGTGACCTAGTGACGTAAGGAAGCTACAGTCACATGAATTAAAATCACCACATACAACTGAACGTGAATCACTGAAGGCAGTAACAGAGAGCTCAGTGAATTCATCAGCGAAAACAGATAGCGCAGATGATGTGCATTATAGAGTCACCTAAATATTGGTAAAATAAACATATTTGTATTTATTCAGATGTTTTGGACGACATCTTAGAGTTGGACAGTCGATAAAATTATTTTGAAACTTGAAACGTGCAATAGTAGATCGACACCAGTTCACATTTAAAAACGTATTAGTAGTAGTAGCGCACCACCGCCACACTTCATTTCATTGTTTGGTCGATCCTGACGATAGATATTGAAGTCACGTAGTGATACTAATCAATCGCCAACCAAGTTTCTTGAATTGTGATGACACCACAAACACGATACATGCTTTGACTTAGTAGGAATTGACGATAGTCCGCCTCATTAATTAGTGATCAGCATTTAGAATTTGGATGCTCGGGCATCGACTTACGAATAATGCTCATTCTTTTCAA